AATAACCTTTCAAAACGTTTCGTTTCATCAGTTAGTTTGGCCATGTTAGGAGAATATATTATATACTGTATCAAAGACAGAGAATAATCATGTTAATAACCTTTCAAAACGTTTCGTTTCATCAGTTAGTTTGGCCATGTTAGGAGAATATATTATATACTGTATCAAAGACAGGAAAATAATCATGTTAATAACCTTTCAAAACGTTTCTTTTCTGTTGTAAATGTCCGTTCCGTTTTTAAGAAGGAATGTAAAAGTGTGACGTCACCTATAAAATTGACGAAACAAACTCTCTCCAAACAAAGTATCAGTCTGGATCTATTAAAGTTGAGGTTGCTGGTAATTTCAGATATAAACAAACTTGAGAAATGCTGTAGGTAGAAACATTCCTTCTAACATATAAAGTACTTGTTTTTATCTTACAATACTTGTCTTCTTGTTATTTAGTAGAAGGCTACACAATGGGCTATCTGTGCTTTGCCCACCATGGGTATCAAAAATCGGTTTTTAGCGTCGTAAGCCTGAAGAATTACCGTTGAGCCACTAGAGGACACACTATTTTTTTGTTGTTTTTTTTTATGTGCACGAATCCTCTCCAAATAGATGATAAGTTTCTAAATTACAGGTTGAGTCTCCAGCTGTTCTTGTAGGTTAGTTAACCCTTGATGCGTATAACACTTCTAGAAAAACAACTCATTTTGCTCATCCCGAGTGTGTATGAACATCTTATAAGTGATACTTGTGAGAAATGTGTAGTTTTATCTGAAGCAGTCAGAAGAAAAAAAAAGTGTTGATCAGTTTTGACTTTCAATCAATTGACGTTTATTTGATTTAGACTAACAAATTATTAAGAACTCAATCCTTGTGTATTGGTAAGATTGTTTACTTAAGAAAAGCGTTCAAAATTGGACAGACTTTCTAATAAAAAAATACAAAAATTCTTTTAAACGAGAAAATAAATTACACCTACCTGTTTGCTAAACTTTAAACGATTTCCGTCTATATACAAGGAATGGAATGCTACTAAAATCTGACGAAATTGAATCACCCAAAGCACGTGTATTTATTTAACCAAATTACAAAATTCTTACAAACGACAGATAGTTATTAGGAGAGAACAAAAAGTCAAAGGAAACCCTTACGTAAAATTAACATATCTGAGGTAAAAGACCACCAGGTCTATAAATATATATATATATATATATATGTATATATATATAGCACAACCTTATGTTCTAATGTTATTATTACACAATATTCAAACTCCACAACCTTATGTTCTAATGTTGTTATTACACAATATTCAAACTCCACAACCTTATGTTCTAATGTTATTACACAATATTCAAACTCCTCAACCTTATGTTCTAATGTTATTACACAATATTCAAACTCCACAACCTTGTGCTCTGAGGTTGTTATTACACAATATTCAAACTCCACAACCTTATGTTCTAATGTTGTTATTACACAATATTCAAACTCCACAACCTTATGTTCTAATGTTGTTATTACACAATATTCAAACTCTACAACCTTGTGCTCTAATGTTGTTATTACACAATATTCAAACTCCACAACCTTATGTTCTAATGTTGTTATTACACAATGTTCAAACTCCACAACCTTATGTTCTAATGTTGTTATTACACAATATTCAACAAACACTATTAACATGTTAAAAACAAGCACATATACTCTAAGCTATTGTATCCTCTTCGCTTGATACTTCTTTTTAATTATTTATTCTACATAATGATTATTAGATGAAGAAAAAAGCAGTTAAAAAAAGCTTGATCCACAAGTATTGGATTTAAAGAAAACATATTCATGAACTTAAGGATTCAGCCTCGAAACACAAGAAGTACTGTAAAGCATCCAGGTACACAAAAATATTTATTGAATGTTAACATTTCTGCTGAGGTAATCTTCCTGACTCAGATTGGGAAAAAATCAGGTTTAAGTACATATTATAAACGCTATACATAAAGCTAAACATACCACCTTTGACATGTCAAGTTATAAAATCGAAAGGTATGCATGACAAGTGTATTGGAACTTACCAGATAGTTGTTGTAGAACACATTTTCTTTAGATAATGATTTGAAGTCTCTGTAAAAGATATAATGACATGTAATTATGTAACACTACAATGTGGAGGTAATATCATATAATATTTCACACAGAGAAATATTTATTTAATCAACGAGTTTTAATTTATCAATCAGGGTTCTTTTCACGTCAACTTCTGTTACAGTCATTACTATAAAGTCAAAGTTCTTGTCTGTAACATTCAGTGTTTTATACTCCAATCAGAGTTCTTGTTATATCAACTTCTGTAAAAGTCAGTGCTATATACTCCAATCAGAGCTCTCGTTACATCAACTTCTCTAAAAGTCAATGCTATATACTCCAATGAGAGCTCTTATGGTATCATCTTCTGTTGTAAAAGTCGCCTAAGTAACTCATGTCGGTAAAAAGATATTTGATCTCTAATTGTTTCATCTGAATCTGTAGGGCCTTAATTTAGACATGGCAGTTTTAGTTTTATTGGAAATTTTAGAAGTGTGTTATTTATTGTTTACCTAAGCCTAAACAATGGTAAAATGACAGTTTTCTAACTTAAAACACTGAATTTCTTTGAGGTTTTAGGACAGTAGTTTGTCTTTGTGCAAAATGTTTTCTGTCACCTCGAAACCAGGGTTATTCAGCTTCATGATAGCATGACACAGCTCAGCTTAACCGTAACTACAAACTGTGAACGAGGATACTGAGTGTATTGAGCAACCACACCTTGGTAACGAGGATG